AGGACAGAGCAGAGTTTAGGGCTGTTGTACATAGGGTCGCCATGAGTCACCAGCGACTTGATGGCACATAACAACAACAGCAACATACCCTACTTTGGTGAGTAGTGACTGGGGTCCTAACGTCTTGTGAGCAGCCATCTAAAGTACACTATTGGTCTCTCCCTCTCTGGAGCAAAGAAGAGGGAAGAAAATCAATGACTCTTAGTCCAAAGGATTGATGTGACATAAGATTCAGTTTCTCTTACCCTGAGACCAGAATTAGATGGTGCCTGGCTGTCACTGCTGACTGCTCTGAAAGAGATCACAACAGAAGATCTCTGATAGAATGAGAGAAGGATGTGGTAATGTTGTTATGTTGAGTCACTTGGCAACCAGACGTATTGATCTGATGGAGACTGGTGACTATGGCTTCAGTCACCTTCAGGCCTGATACTGACATTATCTCTGACTTGGCTTCCAGACAAAACAGTTCTTGTTTTTGTTGTTGTTGTTGTTGTTGTTGAATGACTCATAATGACCCTATGAACAGTGGATCTGAACCCCGCCCTCTCCTGTGTCATCTTAACACTTCCTGACACATTAGAGCCCACTGCGGCAGTCACCCAGTCACCGTGTAGATGACCTGGTTGAGGATCTTCCTCTCCTTTGCAGATTCTCCACCCTTCCCAGCATCATATCCCTTTTTTTCCTCTCCTTTGCAGACCCTCCACCCTTCCCAGCATCATATCCCTTTCCAGGGACTAGCTCCTCCTAGTAACATATCCGAAGTATCATCCTGGCCTCCAAAGAACACTGAGGCTGTGCCTTCGCCAGGATGTATTTGTTCTTTTGACAGTCCATGGGACTCAGCTCTTATACCACACCACAACTTAAAGGCATCAATTCTTCTGTCATCTCTGTTCCTTGTTCAGCTCTCTGATGCATAGCAAGTGATCAGAAAGACCATGGCCTTGAGTCAGATGTATCTGATTCAATCCTCAAACTGGTATATTAATCCTCAGTAATTTGGAGAAGTCCATCACTGCAGATTTTTCCAGTGCAGTGCATCTCCTTATTTCCTGACTTCTGGTACCAACGGTGTTAATTGTGCATCCAAGAAAGATGAAGCTATTGGCAATTTCAGTCTCTTCTCCATCTATCATGATGTTGCCTGTCAGTCCAGTGGTAAAGTCTTTGTTTTCTTGACATTAAAAAGCAAATCATATTGAAGGCTACATTCCTTGATCTTCCATAACAAGTGCTTCAAGTCTTCCTCACTTTTAGCAAAAGCAAGGTTGTGTCAACTGCATAACATGTTATTGACGATGAGCCTCCCTCCGATCCTGATGCCACTTTCCTCCACATAGAATTCAGCCTCTTGAATAAGTTACTTAGCATACAGATTGTATAGGTATGGAGAGAGAATACAACTCTGATATACTTCTGTCTTAATTTTAAACCATAAAGTATTTACTGCTCTGTTCACACAACAGCCTCCTGGTCCAGGTACAGGTTTTGCATGAACACAATTAAATGCTCTGGGATTCCTGTTCTTCTCAATGTCAGCCACAACTTGTATGATCCACACAGTCCAATGCCTTTGCTTAAAAAGACAAACAATAGACAGGCCTAAAAGGAGATCAGTAACTGAGGAGGAATGTAATCCTTGGAACAATCAACTATACAAGATCCAAAGGACAGCATTTGCTCAGGGATAAAGCTCAAAAGTCAGGAAGTGCTAGGAAAGAAAGACAAATGGAAACAGGAAACACAGGATGGAGTGGGAAGAATGCTATAATGTTGTGGGAATTATAATCAATATCACAAAACAAAATATGTCTGAACCTTTTCTGGTTCATGAGCATGATGATTGGGTGTTCATGCTTTTGTGTGACCTGTGCCTCCCATAACCCTTGTTATGACAGTGTTGGCACACTACCCATCTGACATGGAAAAAACAAAGCAAAACAAAATATGTATGATTTGTTGTATGAAAAACCTGCTTGCTGCAAACATTGACTTAAATCACAAGAAAAAAGTTTGTTTTTAAGGCATCAGTTCCGCTTCAGGAAACACAACAAAAACAAAGATCTGTGGGAGGAAAAGCCCTTGTTCCATACTTTTGAGATGACTGTATGACATCCAAGAGCAAACATCTAATAGATAGTTGGTTGTGTGTGCCTCCAAAGTTAGACAAGACCCTGGGGCTAGAAATAAAAATTAGCATAATCAATATATAGAAGGAATTTATAGCCAAGAGGTTACCAGGAGTTGAGTGAAGCCAGAGAAGAGAGGAGACAGAAAAGCCCTAAGTACAACTTATATTCAATCAGAGGGACTCCCAGGTTGTTGCTGAGAACATGTAACTTCTTAGCTCCTCTGATGAGACTAGGTGGCTTATGTTTTAGTCTTTTGGGCTCTAACTCTGGTTGGGAACTGTAGCTCTTAATTATCCTAATGGACATAATTGGTGACCTGGAAAAATCCCAAATCTCTGAATAAGCTTCCTTTGCCCCTGCTTTGTATGAGGCAATGTTGGTCAGTGGTTCTGTAACCCTTGTGTTCATGCCAGGACTCAGGGTAGGAGTGACCAGCTGGCCAGTCTCTAATCCAGCTTCCTTGTCTGTCTGTTTTGTACATTGAACTTCTACAAAAGATTCATTTTTAATGAACCCATGGCTTAAAACAAAGATCACAAATGAAAGAGCCTGAAAGTCAGTTCTTTGAACATGTATATCCTGGAAGAAGACATGGTAGGTCCAGAGGACATGTTCTTAGACACTGACAAGCTATGGTCACCCAAATGCTACTGATAATTCCTTGGGCCAAAGTGCTATTTGAGGCCACTCTTCTCATGAATAGAGAGCTCTAGTAGCTTCGTGGTAAGAAATTGCACTGTTGGTGGGGGAGGGTTGGAAGGGGGGAAAAGTGCAACAATGAATGAATGGAAATCCAAAGTCTCTGTAAATTTTCATTGAAATTAATAATGAATTAGAAAAGAAATTGCACTGTCAAACCAAAGGGTCGGTTAAGACTTGTTTGTTGTTGAGTACCATAAAGTTGGAATCAAGCTATAGCTGACCCTCCAGCAGGTTTTCAGAGGCAGGTAATTGCATGGGAGGAGATTGCTCACCCTCCAGCAGAGCAGCTGGTTCCCTCAAACCACATGCCTTAGGGATTGCAGCACAGCTTCTTGCCACTAGGCCACCAGAGCTCCCTGACTTGATGGTACACAACAACTTTTCATGAATATTTCTTTTCGTATATTCATGATAAAGCCATTTGCCCAAGTTCACAGAATTAGTGAAAGACAAGTCTTACTTATTTTCATTGGTCCCTGGTCTCAGGGAGGGCAGAGGTGGGATCTGCTTTGCTCACTCTTAACACCAGTCCCCCCTGACTCTTAGCCTGCCTGCAGAACCATCTTCAGGAGGCTCCAGCAGGCCTCTGCTGCCTTCAGGCCCAGCCAGCCAGATCTCCCTTTCCCAACGTGTTCCTGCCTCTAAGGAACCCCTTTCTCAAGGCCCCTTAGCCTGCTACTCAGGGGCCCTGACAGAGGATGATTCCTATGGGGTCATTCAGCTTGGTTACTGGCTCTGAAGCTGAGGAAGGACTGGAGGGGCCAGGCTGAGTCCTTCCTGGCCATGGAATGGGCACTGAAAACTGTTGGATCTGTAGTTGCTCTTAATTGGAAGGGCATGCTGGTGCCACATTCAAAAGAGAAAAGCAAGCCTGAAAACAAACCTTTCAGTTTTGACTAATTTCTTGCTCCATAGGTACCTAAATACTGAAAAAGAACTGCCAGTGAACTGAGTCTTAATGGGAGAAGGTTGATGGTCTAATGTGGAGTAAAAGATATCAGAATACAGAGTTGATTCACTTGCCATCTTCAGGGCTTCTTCCTTGCTGTAGTCCCATTGGGCAAATTACTTATACTCTCTTATGCTCAGCTCCTTTATCTGTTGGTAGGGGCACTTGCTTCAGAGAGAAATGATCAGGACAAGACACCTAAATCCAGGTGAACTTAGCATGCTACTGTGGCACTCAATAAGGGTTAGCTGTTAAAAAAGCCCCATACAGATAGAAAATGTTACGTGTCCTTTTTTTTAATCTTTTTTTAATTTTTTTATTTTTTAATTTTAATAATTTTAATGAATATTTACAGAGATTTTGGATTCCCATTCATTCATTGTTGCACATTTTAAAGGACTAGTAGGAAGTATGCTTAAAACACAATGGGGCAACAATGGTATAAGGGGCGGGTCTCTCCACTGGTCCAGAGCCAGCTCCTGGGACAGATCCTCCAGTCCCTACATTCCAGATGAGTGTCCTTATGCTGACATTAGCCAGGGCATCTGCACAGAAACCCGGCCAGAAATTTTCATCACTTACTGAAGTTACTTAAATGAGGGGTTTGATCTTTCCTCAGTGACAGTCACGTCATTGGTTGTGGATCAAGTAGATGTAGGAAGGCCTGGGGATGGAAATCATAGTACAGGTGAGTTCTGGGCACTGTGCTAATCACTGGGTAAAGAGAGGGCCTCATCTCAACTCAACCTTAATTTTCTTGGAAGAACTGAGCACCATATTCTCAGTTGAGGAATATACTACTGTTTATTAAGTGACCCTGACAACAGCCCACCCCCATAATGCTTTTGTTTGCCCCACAGGAGAGCCCAAGGGATGGCAGCTGACATGCAGAGGAAGAGAAGCAGTGAATGCCCCGATGGCACATTGGCTCCTTCTGACGGGCAGAGTATGGAGAGAGCTGAGAGCCCCACACCAGGACTGGCCCAGGGAATGGAGCCAGGTATGGTGGAGGGCGCAGCTGCAGCCAGCTGACAGCTGGAGCAGCCATGGGGGAATCTGATTCCCAGCCACTCTTTCCCTATCACTCATTCATACATTTGTTCACTCACTCATTGACTATTTGCCAGATGCTGGGGCTACTGCAGGGAGCCAGGCTGTCTGTGTCAACCTTCCACTTTGCCTGTGTTGTGCCACTTGTCCGGTGCTGTCTGGCTGCCCATGTGTGCTCTCCTCCTTCTGTTCCCTGTATCTACAGTGAATGTCTTTGGCTCTTCCTCCTCCCCTTAGCTAGCTCTCAACTTAAATGTCACCTCTTCATAAATTAAGCCTTCCTATGACCACTCTCTGCACAGGATACTGAAATTATTTAGTAATTTTATTTATTGATTCATGTATTTCCCATCTCTCTCTGCCATACGATTATGAACTCTTGAAGGATAGGGTAATTATACCCCCAAATGTCTGTCATGTTAGAGACTCAAAATAGATTTGTTGAATTATTTTGTTAAAAAAAAGGAACAGTGACATGCTCCTTGCCCAGAGAAGCTATTGCAGTGGAATAGGTTAGGAGATATGGCCTGTGAGGTAGGGAGATATTCCTAAAGAGAGAATGAAGCCAGGCTCCTGTCTTTTAAGAGATCCCACTGTAGTTGGAGAGAATAAGTTGCCACAAAATGGAAAATATAACAGAGTACCTGAGGTTAGAAGTCAGGTGAAGAGCTAACATCTGAGCTGAACACCTGAAGGACAACAAGGAACCAGTCATTTGAGCAGGTAGAGAGATGGGACATGCTGAAGGTGTTTGAAGAGCAGATGATGAAGGCTAGTCTGACCTGGTGAATTGTGAGGGAAGCAGGCAGACCAGCTGCCACCACTGGTGTGAGATCTTACTCCTAATATGATGGTGAGAGACTGCAGGGCTAAATGCTGTGTGGCCCATGGCAGGAGGGCACAGCAGCTCCCCTAGCAGGATAGTGAAGCTAGAGTAACTCCTGTCAGGTTCGTTGCTGGAAAGGAGATTGGCCAGCAGCTTCCCCTCTAAGTACCTGTGCTTTCACCTGCAGGTGCTGGGCAAGAGGGTGCTATGTTCGTCCATGCCCGTTCCTATGAGGACCTGACTGAGTCTGAGGATGGAGAGGCATCCGGGGAGAGCCCCAAGGAAGGTGCTGGAGGGCCCCCACCACTGCCGGCAGATATGCGCCAGATCAGCCAGGACTTCAGTGAGCTGAGCACCCAGCTAACGGGTGTGGCCCGAGACCTGCAGGAAGAGATGCTGCCTGGAAGCTCAGAGGACTGGTCAGAGCCCCCAGGGGCAACTGGGCGGCCAGCCACAGAACCCCCCAGGGAGGGTACCACTGAGGGGGATGAGGAAGATGCTACTGAAGCATGGCGCCTGCATCAGAAGCACGTCTTTGTGCTGAGCGAGGCAGGGAAGCCTGTGTACTCCCGCTATGGGTCAGAGGAGGCACTCTCCAGCACCATGGGTGTCATGGTAGCCCTGGTGTCCTTTCTGGAGGCAGACAAGAATGCCATACGCTCCATCCACGCAGGTGAGCTCCTTGGGGCTGGGAGCAGCAAGGGCACCTCATGTCAGGTTAACTCATAGCAGGCTTAGCATCCCTATGAACTAGAAAACTGGAATGTATTATATGTCCAAGGGCAAGTCTACCTCTCTGAGCCTTAAAATCCTCATCTATACGTAAGATGATAGCATTGCCTGCCTCATGGAGTTGCTGCGAGGCCAACAGTTCTTCTAACTTGGAAAGGTTAAGAATCTTGAGGGAAGGTGAGAACCCCGTCTAATCCTTGCCAGCTGATTTACCACTTGGGAGGGGGAAACAGAGAGCCATGAACATGTGTTTTTCAGAAATACATCCATGTTTTAGCAGGAGCCAGTCTATGCAGCAATTGGCCTGAACAGCCTTGAATCCCACAGGGAAATGGGGCAGTGGGCTACTGTTTTAATCCTTATAATCCTTAAGCCCCTACTGTGTGCAGAGCACTGAGCCAGGGTGGAAAGGAAGTAGAAGGATTTGGGCTGTATAAAAGTGGGCTCCACGGAGGGCCAACCTGAGAGGGCTTTTCCTAGAGGATTTAAAGCTAACATCCCTCCACCCATCTTCAGATGGCTACAAGGTGGTGTTTGTGCGCCGAAGCCCGCTGGTGCTGGTGGCCGTAGCGCGCACGCGGCAGTCGGCACAGGAGCTGGCTCAGGAGCTGCTGTACATCTACTACCAGATCCTGAGCCTTCTCACCGGTGCCCAGCTGAGCCACATCTTCCAGCAGAAGCAGAACTACGACCTGAGGCGCCTGCTCTCGGGTTCAGAGCGGATCACTGACAATCTGCTTCAACTCATGGCCCGGGACCCCAGTTTCCTGATGGGCGCAGCCCGCTGCCTGCCGCTGGCCGCAGCTGTGCGTGATGTCGTAAGCTCAAGTTTGCAGCAGGCAAAGGCCCGTAGCCTCGTCTTCTCCATCCTGCTGGCCCGCAACCAGCTTGTGGCGCTGGTGCGTCGCAAGGACCAATTCCTACACCCCATCGATCTGCACTTGCTTTTCAACCTCATTAGCTCCTCTTCGTCCTTTCGTGAGGGTGAAGCCTGGACGCCCGTGTGCCTGCCCAAATTCAACTCTGCAGGCTTCTTCCACGCACACATCTCTTACTTGGAGCCTGATACTGACCTCTGCCTGCTGCTGGTCTCCACTGACCGAGAGGACTTCTTTGCGGTTTCTGACTGCCGACGCCGCTTCCAGGAGCGCCTGCGGAAGCGCGGAGCCCACCTGGCCCTGCGGGAGGCCCTACGCACACCTTACTACAGTGTGGCCCAAGTGGGTATTCCGGACCTCCGCCACTTCCTCTATAAGTCAAAGAGCTCAGGACTGTTCACCAGGTGAGGGAGGACCATGTGGGCACTGATTGGGGAGGCAGATGCATTGGGTCAGGTGATTCTGTGGGCCCTGGTGTCTTGAAGCTGATGCCCCCTCCCCCCCCACCCCAAATGTCCCAGTATGGTCCCAGGCATTCAGCTTTTCCATCACTGCCCTCCCTGGTGCATACACCTCTTTACTTTATCTACTTCATTACCCAAAAGTCCTGGGTATGGCCAATACCTAGGAAGGATGCTAGAACAAAGGTGTCCTGGGTCCTTTATCCTGCAACACCTATGTCTTGGGCCTCGTTTTAGTCCAGCCCAGAATATACAGCCACTCCTCTACCTGCTGTCTTGATCGAGAGGCTGGGCTTGGCCTGGGGGACAGGTGTAGCAATTTCTCCTCTCTTTATCTTTTGACTCAGAGAGTTCCTAGCTCATCTTTCCTCCATTCCAGATCTGTCACTTTTCATTCTCAGTCTTTGACACCTAGACTCAGATTGGACAATTCCAAGGGAGGGTCAGAAAAGACACCATGAACTTAGAGGTTGGTGGATGAGCATCTGCAGAGTATGACACATGAAACAGTCTCTCTGGCTAGAAATTGTTTCTAGAGTCCCAGAGAAGACAATAGGAGTTACCGTTACCCCTTGCCACTGCCCTCCCGCCCATAGCCCTGAGATCGAGGCCCCCTACACAAGTGAAGAGGAGCAGGAGCGGCTCTTGGGCCTCTACCAGTACTTGCACAGCCGTGCCCACAATGCCTCCCGGCCACTCAAGACCATCTACTACACAGGACCCAATGAGAACCTCTTGGCCTGGGTAAGGCAGCCCTGGGCAGAGCAGCCCAAGGTTCTTGCTGGGGTTCTTGGGCAGGGCTATAAGGGATCACCAGTCTCGATGACCACCCTGTGCCCCCTTCTCCAGGTGACAGGTGCCTTTGAGCTCTACATGTGCTACAGCCCCCTGGGGACCAAAGCATCGGCCGTCAATGCCATCCATAAGCTGATGCGTTGGATCCGCAAAGAGGAAGATCGCCTCTTCATCCTCACACCCCTCACCTACTGATGGGAATGTATGCAGGCCCAAACTTCCTGGACCTGTTGGGATGTGGGCAGCCATGAGAGCCTCCAGGTGGGGCTAGCCTTTTCTTACCCAGCCAGCAGGCAGGGACTGTGGCTTGGTGTGTGCATTAAAGTGCTTTGAGAAATACATTTTTCAGGTCTGGTTCTGTGTGTCAGCCAGCTATTGCACTCACATGAATAGGAACTGAATTGCACATTTGGGTCTCACCCCTATTCCATTGCATCAGGCCACACTGGCATCAGGCTATACATGCTGAGAATCAGGCCTTGGACCTGTTTTGATTCCCTTGAAACCATGCTACATGTAAATGGTTCTTAGGTGTTCCACAGACCTTTTCATCCACAACCTCATCCCTTTATTCAGTGTAGTCTATGATGCTTCCCTCCTTAGGTGGGGCCCCAGCCTCAGACCTCAAAGGACCCAACCACTTTAGGAGCCCTGGCCTTACAGGTTACTGTAGTTCAGCAGTAGTTTTACAATTTGTAAAATTAATGTGAGATTATTTATAAGAAGTCTCAGTTCAGCGTAGTCCCAAATGCTTAACTTGCTGTATAAATTCATAATTTCTAACATTAACAGCTCCATCCATGGCTCAGTTCCCCAATTCCTCTATGGCACTTGGGTTCAGTGATTTGCTAAAAGGTCTCTCAGAGACTCAGATAGATCCACCAGGAAAATTACTCACATGACTGTAGATATGCAGGCTGGTTTTGGAGAAACTGGTAATCTTGAGCCAGGATCCTGTAGACTGTCAGTTGTGGCACAACTAGATGGCAACTGTGGGTGAGTGATGCAGGCTGATAGTGTGTAGACTGATGAGCAATGAGCCAGGATCCTATAGACTATCAATTGTGGTGTGACTGGATGGGACTGTGAATGATGCAGGCTGGATGCTGTGTCCTAGGCGAGCAGTCTACAAGAGAAGGTGCTTAGCACTGAGGTCCCCTGAGCTTATATAAGCCTCTAATAGAGTGGGGCTTTATCCCATTCTAATCCTTTTTCCTTAATAAAATAATTATTTCTGCACAAAGTAATGATTGGCTTGGAAAGATATCTGACTAATAAACCTTAGATACCTAGAAGCAGGAATTGAGCAGAGAGGGACAGAGAAGTGCAGGTTTTGAATCTGAACCCTAGCGTGAGTGGGTGCCCATTGCTCAGTGACACATTCAGAGACCAGCCTCCCTATAGTCCACAGGCCTCTGGAGAAACTCTCCTTGCTTAGACCTTCCTGCAAAAGGTTATCCCTAACTTCCTTACCTCCAATGAGCACATTCGTTGGAATGGTGGAAAGACCCAGCTGACCTAAGGGCAGGAATAAACCCTACTCTGAAAGGGGCCAAGTCCTCTAAGTAGACCTAAGGTATTCCTCAGGAACTATGTTCCTGGCCTGGTCAAGACTATGTGGGTACCATGAACATCCCAAGGGACTCAAGTGAAGGCCTGGCCCTGTTTACCATGAACCACTTTTGGGCAGAGCCCAGGACATGGTATAGAATGTGCATCTTGCTTAGAAACTCTTCCTGGCTGTGTTACCACTGTCTCTCTGGCCAGGGAAAGTAAAAGGCCTGGGAAGTGTTTATGTCTTCTGCATGTTGTCTTCATACTATTACAAGAGTACATTGGAATGATTGGACTTCACTGACTTCATTGGAAGAACTGGGATTCACTGGGAAATGGAAGCACAGTCCCCATTTGACCCCACCCCAAATCACAAAGGAACAGGCTCATGCCTCAAGGTCCCTGGGAACACCCACAGGCCTGGTCAGTGCTGCTTGCCTTGCATACTTGCCTTTGGTTTTCTTTATTTTCCTGTTTTTGCCTCTGGCCTGGGCACCAAACAACTGAATGCTACCAGGTTGTCACTGACAGCAGCTGGTGTTCTAGTGAGCAGTCAGCCACTAAGTGCCTCTGCCAGCTTCCCTGAAGCCTGTAGGATCATGTAGTTTCTCTCTAATTTGGCACCTAGTTCTGGGTGGGGGCAGCAGAGGGGACTCACAGTTAGATGAGAACAATGGGGCACTTAGGAGAGGTCCACTTTTGGGGTCCAGGGAGAGAGGAAGGGCAAATACGAGAGGCACTCCTGGTGGAGGACCTTGGAAAAGAATCTAGTGTGATGGTTTGTAATCAATCTAGAGGAATCCTCAAGGCCTTGGGTTCTGGAATTGCAGATAAGTCTAGCAGTGGGGAACCCTAGACAGCTTCAAAGCTGTGGAGTGATGTGGTCATATTTTGAGTAGAGAGAATTTCCTCTCACAGCTACTGAAATCTCTTGGAATTTGGAGAGAAAGGCTGGACTAGGTCCTCAGGAGGAAGAGTATCTGAAGGGAAGTGGGAACTTCAGGAGGACCTCTCTATAGGCAGCCTGTTGAGTTCTTGGGAGCATATTTGTGCTCACCGCTGCAGGACCCTGTTAGCTGTCCGACGCCCTTCAGAATGCTTCCCCACCTCCCACGTGATGAGCAGGTGGATGAAGAAGGAAGGGGCACCAGTGGCGGTTGAGAGCCTCGGCCTCCTGGGAGGGGCATTGGCCCGAGGTCATCCATGTGCATGCCACATGGGGGCAGTAGAGGACCAATTGACAACTGCTGTGCCCCTGCCCCAAAAATGGGGTGGGCGGGACAAGCAAGGAGCGCTGATGAAGCCTGGATCCAACCCCAGGAGACTCCAGACGTCCCCTTGGCGGGGTGGAGATCGCAGGGAAACTGTTTCATTTCAGTTTTGCACTGCATGACTATCTTTAGACATGTCCACTGAACGCAGGGACCACGCCTTGCTTTTTGCTGGCGTTTATTCATTTCCGGGCCAATTCTGATTGAGTAAGGGAGCTTGTTTAAAGTTGCCTCAGTGGCAAAGTTCTCCCTAAACTGGGTGTGGCTGCCGCCCACTGTTTTCTTTATGAGCGGGTGAACGCAGGAGTTCCTGTCTGGAGGGTGAGGGGAGAGGAGAGGGCCTACTCAAGAATCCAGAGTGAACTGTATCAGGTTGGGTTTAGAGCCCCAAAGCTGCAGAACCCAGGGGACTTCTGGCACCAAAACCCCTGGTTCAGGAAGGCTTCCTGGAGAAGCTTCTAGAGGAAGAAGGCGAAAGATGCTCCTGGATGAGGGACACCGTTTACAAAAGCTAAAGGAATATGATGGCACAGTGGTTAAGCACTTGGGTACCGAATGAAAAGTTGGTGGTTCAAACCCACTTGATTACTCTCACAAAGAAAGCCCTGGTGATCTGCTTTGTAAATATTGTTGTTATGTACTGTCAAGTCGCCTGTAACTCATAGCGACCCCATTATGTACAACAGCTCTAAACCCTGCCCTATCTCTTGATAGTGTTATTGTCTCTGACACACCTACCCCCAATTAGCCCAGTCACTGAATCAATCCATCTCATTGAGGGTCTTCCTCTCTTGTGCTGTCCTTCCACCCTCCCAAGCATGATATCCTTCTCCAAGGACTGGTCCCTCCTTGCAACATGTCCAAAATGTGTCAGACAAAGCTTCAGAATCCTTGTCCCCAAGGAGCAACCTGGTTTCACTCTACCACCTACAATATTCTGTGGGGCAGTTCTGCTTTGTCACATGAGGTCACTAGGAGTTGAAATTAACTCAGTGGCACCTACCAACAATTGACTGGGGTGTCTAGGAGTTTGTAGATGGTAGATGCTGGAGTGGAGACTGAATTGTATCAGGCTGGGGGCTCTTCTGTGCATTCTACCCCACCTTACCCCTGGCAACCATGTTTCAGGCCCAGTGTAGCTTCGCTTCCCTCCAAGGTCTGTGCCAGGCTGAATGAGGGGTTGTCAGGCTGAAATTGTCTTCCAAAATCCCCTTCTAGTGTTGAGGGTGCAGTTCAGACACAGGAGCTGTTAAGGTCCAGTTACGGAAATGATGAACGACTTACACCCCCCCACTCCACAGAAACTAGAGGGAGAGCCACTTACTCAGACCTAAATCCTCTTTTGCACAAACTGAGGGGCTAAGTCCTGACAAGGCTTACAGAGCAGGTTTAGAAGCTTCTGGAGAGTCAGTGCTTATAGTGGAGGAGGGGGGCTAGGTCCTGGAGCAGGGCTGGGAAGCTGGCTCTGTGAGTTTTGTTACACATGCCCTACAGCTGAAGCATCATTCCAGGGCCCCAAACTGTGGTTGGTCCTCTAGATAGTCTGCCCTTTGTGTAACTCCAATATTCAACCACCAGTCTATGCCCATTCCAGAGCCTCCTACCATTCGGAATGGGCAAGGAGCAACACACCATCTACTGATATCATCCTGCCATGCTCAGCCAATGGCAGGCCCACTGGAAGCACACATCAGCCTCTGATACCATCCACAGCCCACAGTGGGCCCCATCCCACAGAGAGCAGTGTCTGCTTGTGTTGGATGTATCCTTGGTTTTTGCTCCTCACTTCTCAGTGGACTTCTCAGGCCCCTCGCTGCCACGGTCACCAAAGTCCGTGTGAAGTTAGGAGTGTAGCTAGAAACTGGTTTCATGGGGAGAAATTGTGCCCTGTTCATTACTGGAGCTGAGGTGACTCAATCTTCCGACTCCCATCTCCTCCTTATCAGGAGGCCAGGTGTGGAATGGCTCGAACTTCTCCCAGGGCCACTCCCCACACACACCCATACACCGCTGAGAAAATGGTTCCCAAGAATACGTGCAAGACTTCCAAAGGCAGGGAGAGTCCGGGAGGTGGAGGAGCTGACCCTGGCCAACTTTGAAGACTACCTCGCCCTGGCTCCGCCCTCGCTCTGGCCCCGCCCGCCCACCCCGCCTTCTGGTAGACTTCGCCCTGCTCCTGGTTTTAGAGCTCAGTTGGAGCAGTGGGAGAGTGGCTAATCCTTTCTCTTGATCCTGTCCGCTCGCCTTAGTTTCTTCTGAGACCCGAGAGCAGGAGTGGGGCGTGCTGCCCCGGGACTCTCCACTAGGTGCTGGACACTGGCCCAGCCCAGATCTTCAGTTCACTCCCAAGCCGGTGCTTCTGGAGCTCCTAGCGAACTCCCAGCGGGGCCTCGATGGCACACCTCCAGCTGCCGTCACCACAGCCCTACCTACTGCTGCCGCTGCTCCTGCTGCTGCTGCGCGCGCCACCCCCGACCATGCCCGCGGCGGACCAGTGCCAGGGGAGCTGGCAGTGTTCGCGGATCCCCTACACTGCCTCCCGCAACTTTGATGTGCAGTACTCAGTGCCCAGCTTCTCGGCCAGGGGCCCCATCCAGGCTGTGGCGACCTTCGAGGACCAGGATGGAAGTGCTGTTTTTGTGGCCACGCGCAACCGCCTGCACGTGCTGGGGCGCAGCCTCAAGCTTGTCCAGAGCCTGGTGACGGGCCCCGTCGGGAATCCTGATTGCCAAACATGCTCAGCCTGTGGTCCGGGTCCTTATAGCCCCCCAGGCGACACAGACACACAGGTGCTGGTACTAGAGCCGGTGCTGCCCGCCCTGATCAGCTGCGGCTCAACCCTCCAGGGCCGCTGCTTCCTGCATGAGCTGGAGTTCGGCGAGGACACTACCGTGCGCCTGATGCCGCCAGCCTGCCTCTTCTCTGCCCACCAAAATCAGCCTGATCACTGCCCTGACTGTGTGGCCAGCCCGCTGGGCACCCGAGTGACTGTGGTCGGACAGGGCCAGGCTTCCTACTTCTACGTGGGATCGTCTCTGAATGCAACAGTGGCCGCCAGCTTCAGCCCGCGTTCGGTGTCCATCCGCCGCCTGAAGGCAGACTTCTCTGGATTTGCACGTAACTTTGTGTCGCTGTCAGTGCTACCTGAGTATCTCTCCTCCTACCGCATAGAATATGTGTACAGCTTTCACGCTGGAGCCTATGTATATTTCCTGACAGTGCAGCCAAGCAGCCTGCGGGCCGCACATGGCGCCCTGCACACACGCCTGGCTCGGGTCAGCGCCACTGAACAAGAGCTGGATTACTACCGTGAACTTGTCCTACACTGTAATTTTGAGCCTAAACGCAGGCGCAGGGGGGTCCCCAAAGGCGGACAGATCTACTCAGTACTGCGGGCAGCCCACACAGCTCCTGTGGGCTCCCTGCTGGCCGAGGAGCTGAGTATTGCAGAGGGTCAGGATGTGCTATTCGGGGTCTTCACAGGGATCAGGGATCGTGGTCCAGGAGAAGGTCCCAACTCTGTCGTCTGTGCCTTCCCCATTCGCCTGCTGGATTCTCTCATTGAGGAGGGGGTGGAAGGGTGCTGCCAGGATCCTGTGCACCCTGGAATCCGGAGAGGCCTTGACTTCTTCCAGCTGCCCAGTTTTTGTCCTAATCCGGTAAGGACTATTTCCCTTTTCCATCTGAGGGAGTCTGAGAGGGGAGGGCAAACAAGGAGAACCTTCTTCCACTTGGTTCCTTAGAGCTGGGGGATGAGGTGGGAGATTAGACAAAAACCACACAATGGAGCTCCGCCCCCCCATTCTGCCCATCTTGCTCTTTTACTCCCCGACTCATTACACTCTGATTTGTTAAGGTCGTTTTCTTTGCTATGTGAGGCCTGAATTGTATTGCATCACAACTGTCTGTCTCTGCCAAATACAGCTTGAAAAGTCTCAGTACAATGGTAGACCTCCCTACCACCTCCCTGGCCACCTACCCACCAAGCACACCTTCAGGAAGCTTACACACTGTTTGATAAAGGTTACACGTACCCACATGCAAACAGTTCCCTGACATGCACAAACACTCAGGCAGATACTCTAAGACTCACACAAACACATCCAACAGCTGGCGGTTTCACTTTCCCAGAGGGAGCACTTGTTTTGCTCCACTTTCCAAAGAGGGTGGGGCAAGAGTTTTAAGACCAGACACCCCTACAACCCTTGCTTCCTTTTGTATTCCTGTCCCCAGATTCCAGACACCCCTACAGCCCTTCACTTCCTTTTGTATTCCTGTCCCCAGATTCCAGGAAGTTTCTTGGTCTTTGGAAGCTGGAAGCTTGTTAGGGAATCCATGTGTGTCCTGACTTTCGCAGAACAACCCATCCTTGATTGTTCTCAAGGGAGTGTTTGGGAGAAGGCCTGGAAGCTTGCAGAAGGCTCTGTCTAGGCTCGTGCAGGGAATGAGCAAAGGCCTAGCAGGATCTTATTTGAGTTGGTTTACCAGAACAGAGTCCTAGCTGTTCTCTGGACAACTGCATAATTGAGGCTCCAAGTTGGGAAGGGCTCAGATTATGCTTCATTCCAGCAACCTATGCCCAGGTGCTTTCCAGCCATGGTGTCAGGTAATTTGAACACAACAAAAAAGGACTTAATTAAAATACTATGCTGAGGACAAAGTAAAACCCAATCTTAAAGCCATTGGAACAGTTCCAGCCAAAATCAAACCAAGGAAATGGAGTAAATACAGCACTGGATATGGTTTTTCAGTGAACCCAGGCTTTGGCAGTCTTGTGGCTTTGGCTATGCTGTGACATTCTTCACTCACTCCTTCCAAGCCCCTGTTGATGCTAGAGAGGTGGGCAGAGAAATTATACCCAGGAGATGGCAGTTCTTCAGCATCCCTCTCTCAGATGAGTCAGTTTGGGTCAAAGGGGCCCTGCTGTTGGAAACTCAGCTAGACCTGGCTGTCCTCTATGTCTTCCTTCCAGGAAGTCAGAACCTTTCCCTGACTTGGCTAGTGGTTAGTGGGTCAGTAAACACTCAGCACAGCAGAGCAGTGCCAGGCTTTCCTAATCTCAGGCCCTGCCCACAGGCTGGCAAGCCTCATGGGAGGTGTGGGACTCAAATCTGTACAATCTTTGTACAGTGGCTTTGAGCATGCAGCCACTGGGCAGAAACCCTGTTGGTATGGCAGGGTGGAAGTCTGGGGGAGTCACCATCCCACATACTCTCCAATATGAGGCACTGGGCACTTAAGTAAAGGTGTTTTGTGTTGTGTGTTTTTGTTTTTGTTTTCCAGGATCTAAACCCATTCCCTCCCTACCCCTTCATCCCTAAAACCTGGGAACCTTGGGCCTACAGGCAGGCAGGCAAAGGTGTGGCCTCTCTCCAGCCCCACCTGTCCTTGAGTCATGTTGACAACACCTAGCTGGCTTCCTGCTAGGCAGAGGCCCCTCATCCACCTGAAATGAGGACAGAGTCACAACCTGCACCCACCCACCTACCTGTGGGACAGGCCCAGTGTGTAGAGGGGGTCTCTGGACCTTGTCCTGGCTCCCAGGCTTTCGGATCGGCCCTGAGGGCTCAGGACTGGGGCTCCAGCTTGATGAGGAAGGGTCTGAGCATTTGAGGCTACTGAGCCTGGACCCCTGGGCCCCTGAACCCCTTTGTTGTTATCTTTTTTCTTTTCCTTTTTTCCCCCAAAAGAAAAACCAGCTCTATTTCAATGAGCATTATTGGATTTCAAATTTCTTCTTTCATTTCTAAGGAGATTCTTGTATTGTTGTGTGCTGTGATAAGGGGCTGAAGTAATCATTTTTATCTTTCTACAAGAAAAGTTTGGTACACCAATCTCAATGGAATTTCTGGGAACTATCAGAGAATTAATGGCAAATTTATTCATTCACTCATTGTCTTCAAGTCATAACTTCCTCATTCCTGATCTGCTAGTGAGGTTTTTGGAGACTATATGTAATATGGGAGGGCATTGCCCATTTTTTTCCCATTGGAGCCACTGGTAGGTGGATTTGAACTGCCAGAGAGGTGCCACTTAATGGATTGTTGTTGTTATGTGCTGTTATCTTTAGTTGCCATTGTTTCAGTTCTGACTCGTGGTGACCTCATATGTACAAAGTAGAACTGTTTCATAGAATTTTTAAGACTGTAACCTTTCAGAAGCAGATTGCTAAACCTCTCCTCTGAGGAGCCTTTGGGAGGATCTAATCCACCAACCTTTAGGTTAATACTTAACTACTTGTGCTTCCCAGAGACTGGCACCACCTCCATCCAGTCCCATTACTTGGCACTCACACTCTAATTTCCTAGTTTCCCAGAAGCTTTTAAAGTCCCTCCCTAGGACATTGGTTGCAGCCTCAAACTTTCCCCCTGCTGAGTAAGATCAGGGAAGGGGCTCCTGTCTCCTGGTACCAAGGCCTTTGGGTCTCCATTATCCTGTTTGTATCCTAAAGGAGGAACAGAGAGTGACTTGAAGTTCAGAAAGAACTTGGAGTCTCAGGGGGAGGAACACTGCCACTAGCTTGTGCTGACTGTTTAGCTCAGAGTCTCTGACTCCTTGTGCAGGTGAGGAAATTGAGGCCCCACAAAGAGACACATGTGCTAAAGTTCATTCAGTGAGGCAGGGCAGTCAGCAGACAGTGTGAGAAGATTCTGGTAAAGAGCTCAGGCTTCAGACCTGAATCTTCTTTTCAGATACTTGAGCCCATTCCTGCAGTTATTGTGCCAATCCGTCTCATTGAGGCTCTTCCTCTCCCAAGTCATCATCTGAGGTGCTGAGAATGGCACAGGATGGGCCACGGTTCAGATCTGTGGTTCACAGGGTTGCTATGAGTCATACTCAATGGCACTTAACAACAAACAACTTCTTTTCCTGAGGCTCTCAGGCCTTGGGCAGGTGACTAAATCTCTCTGAGTTTGTTTCCTCACCTGTAAAGGGGGAGTGGTAAGAGTGGGGTTGTGAGGACACAGAACTGGGTTGGGACTGTAAGACTCAGTAACGTTATCACAATGAACATGCTAAGTAGAGGAGATAAGAGAAACCAGCTTTCCAGCTTAGGCCTCCTTCTCTGCTGCCTGTAAGATCCAAGAGCATGGAAACAGCCCAAATGTCCAACACAAAGGAATGGATTGAGAAATTATGGTACATTCACACAATGGAATACTATGTAGCACATAGGAGCAATAACTTTGTAAACTATTATCTAACTTGGGAGGGACTGGAGAGCTTTATGCTGAATGAACTAACTCAGTCCCATAAAGATAAATATTGTATAAAACGGTTATTGTAGAATGAGTATAAGAATCCAGGAGGGGTGAGAGAGGCTGGAAGCAGAGGGATGTGTATGTACAGGGGAAAGGGGGGATTGGGTTGGGGGATTAATCATTGGGTTGTACAATTTGATAGGTGGGGGTGAGGGAAATTGAAAGAATTTGTTCAAATTTGTATTTGAATTTTGTAAATAAACTAGCAGAAAAATTAAAAAAAGATCCAAGAGCACGGGATACTGGCAGCCTTTGGATCTTCTCTAGTGAGGCTGAGTAAGAGGTGACAGTCCTGGGCGTCTGTGATCACTGACAGGCCCCAAGGGATCACTATGTGGGAATGAGCCTTGACTTTTCCCCATGTCCTTCCCAGCCTGGCCTGGTGGCACCCAGCTCCAACTTCAGCTGCTATCAGTTCCCACTGCTGGTCAGCAAAAGCTTCACTCCACGTGTGGACCTATTCAACGGGCTGCTGGGAACAGTGCAGGTCACTGCATTACATGTGACACGCCTGGGCAATGTCACTGTGGCGCACATGGGCACAGCTGATGGGCGTATACTACAGGTGAGTACCTAGTCCCCACATGTTCCTAGATCTGAGTTCCCATCCCCATTCCCATCCCCCTTTTGTACACAGCTGAACTGTCCTAGGTGGAGCTGGATAGATCTTCCAGTTACTTGCTGTACATTTCCAATTTCTCGCTGGGCAACAATGGACAGCCCATTCAGAGGGACATCAGTCGTCTTGGGGATCACCTGCTCTTTGCCTCTGGGAACCAGGTAAGGTATGCCAGCGTCAGGGGCTGGGGCCAGGACTGTGGGAATATGGCCTCCCCACCCAAACCAGAGAAGCTTTGGCAAAGCCAGGCTCCACTACTTCAACTTGGAACAGAATCAGGGAATCTATAAAAAAAATAGCTAGGCTTTTTACCTTAACTACTTCTGAGTCACACATCTACCACCTCAAGGTCTTCCAGGTTCCCATCCGAGGCCCTGGCTGCCGACACTTCGTCACCTGTGGGCGCTGCTTACGGGCTCAGCACTTCATGGGCTGTGGCTGGTGTGGGGACATGTGTGGCCGGCAGCAGGAATGTCCCAGCTCCTGGCAACAGGATCACTGCCCACCTGAACTCACTGAGGTATGTATGCTTTCCCCAGCGTAGGCAAGGGGCCTAGAGTGGGAGTTAGCAGGGCTTACCCATGACTTCTCAGGCTTATAAGGAAGATACACTTACTTGGAAGAGGGAGTAACACAGGCAAATACTTGGAGGCAGGAAAGTGCTTAAGCATTTGAATTCTAGCAGGTGACCCAGAGTGACTGGAGTGTGGGTTGGGCAAGAGGTTTGGTAAGAAAGACTTGGCCAAGCAGACAGATCTGAGGTAGCTTAGGTCTACATGGAGTAGTGTAATAGACATGGACTATTTTTTCCTCTCTTCAGTTCCACCCCCACCGTGGACCCCTAAGGGGCAACATGACTCTGACGCTGTGTGGCTCCAATTTCAAACTGCACCCTGCTGACTTGGTGTCTAAAGGCATGCATCGGATCACCGTGGGCCAAAGCCCTTGCTGGCTGCTGCCCAAGGACACCTCTACCATCAGGTACAATTTGGCCCCTGTCGTCCTTCTATCCCTACTGGGAGACCAAGAAAGCCCCTTCCTTGGGAGACACTATTTTGTTGTTATCTGGGCCAAGGAGATATGAAGCCATTTGCAGGTCTGTAGTGGCTCTAACTTCTGTGTCTGGGGAGATATTTATTCATTTCTAAGCCTTCAAGTGCCCTACCCCTCTGATGAGTCCTGGACCAGGCAGACTTGTTCTCTGCCCATCAGATCTTTCCTATTCCAGAAAAGGACACTGGAGATGTCATCTCTGGGCTCAGAAGAGGCCTGTGACTTAGGGCAAGAATATTGCTAGGTCTGTGTGACCCTTCACTGACATCAGGGCTCCTTCTATGTCTAGATCAATGATCCCTAAGGGCTTTATAGAGGAACTCGAGTGTGAGCTGGAGCCCTCGGGTGTGCAGGCAGCTGGACCTGCCAGCATCAGCCTCACTGTGGTCAACGTGACAACAGGCAAGCACTTCCGGGTAGACGGGACCTCTGTGTTGCAAGGCTTCACTTTTGTGGTAAGACTACCTTGTCCTGTCTGTGCCTGGGGCTGGCTGGGTAATAAGAGCAAAGAATGGCATGGACAAGAGGACCTATGCCAGCTAAGCCATCTCTTTACCTTTTTAGGAGCCAGTGCTGACAGCTGTGAAGCCCCTGTTTGGCCCAAGGGCAGGGGGCACCCTCCTTACACTTGAGGGTCAGGATCTGTGTGTGGGTACCAGCCGGGTTGTGCTGGTGAATGGGACTGAGTGCCTACTAAAACAGTAAGTGCCAGGAAGCAAGGGGATGGGAAGAGGCTCTGGAACCCTGTCCAGGGGAGTCCTCACCAGTGGGAACCTGGCTACCTGTCAAGGAGAAGGGAGGGGGACTTAGATATTGACAATGTGGGATTGGGATCCATGGAGAAGGATCTGGTGCTGACTCCAGGAGCAGAGGTGACTTGTCTCTGCACGTACGTTGGCAAAGGTTGGCAAGAGAGTCCACTGCAGAGTCTATGGGTTCTGGCCAGAGCTGTGGGGGACCTGTTCCCTCTCTGCCCTCTTGGGGTTCTTACTGAAGCCACCCTATCTTTTCTATACAAAGAGTATGGGCAGGGGAGAAATGACCAAGAGAAAAACTGGGAGTAATGGTCACACCCCAGGAGGAGATGAGCCTGGCCACCACACAAGGGTGCTCCTGAGCCCAATCCCCGTTCTGCAGGGTCAGCGAGGGGCATCTTGTATGTGCCACACCGCCTGGAGCTGCCACGGCCAGAGTTCCCCTTCACCTGCAGGTGGGGGGTGCCAATGTGCCCGGCTCCTGGACCTTCCATTACCGGGAAGACCCCATTGTGTTAGGCATCAGCCCCAACTGTGGCTACATGTAAGTGCCTCCCTGTCTACGTTGGCTTCTGAGGAGTGAGGGACTCAACCTCTAAAAACTCCTCAAGCCCACCACCCCACTCCTCACCCCCAGCGGCTCACAGGTCACCATCCAGGGCCAGTACCTGACTTCTGCCCAGCACTTGCTGTTGTCATTCCATGATGGACTTGGGGCAGTGGAGAATAGGGTGAGTGGATGCTGAAAGTGCAAAAGCAGACACCAATCAGGAGGGAGGAAAGCTTAGGTTCTAGTCCCACCCCAGGCTGAACTGAGAAGACTGGGGTCCTCAGAGGTAGAATGCCTGGCTAACCACCCTTGTTTTGGACTCCAGCAGTGTGAAGGGCTGCTTCCAGAGCAGCAAAAGTGCTATGTCCCTGAATACATGATCCCAAGGTCCCAGGAGTGGATGCTAGGGAACCTGAGTGTCCGGGGGGATGGAGCTGCTGGCTTCACACTGCCTGGCTTTCGCTTCCTGCCCCCACCTCATCCACCTAAAGCTCACCTGGCCCCCTTGAAGCCTGAGGAACATACTATTAAGTTCCAGGTAGGTGAGGGAGATAGCTGGGAGGTGAGCACCAAGGGGAGTTAGGGCAGAAGCCTCCACAAGGAAGATGGGAGCTATGGCCGGTCCTCCTGATCATCTCTGCAGTATATTGGACTGAGTGACGTGGCTGACTGCATGAATGTGACCGTGACCGTGGCCGGTGAGAGCTGCCAGCATGAGTTCCGGGGGGAAGTGGTCATCTGCCCCCTGCCCCCGTCCCTAGAACTTGACAAGAACGGTGCCATGCTACAGGTAGGTAGCCCTACTGGCTTTTCACAGTATATTTGGGTCAATCAAAAGACTGGAGGCTGAGCCTGAGCTTCCACCTGCCCCTAGGTCTGCGTAAATGGTGTGTGTCATGAGCTGGGCAAAGTGAGGCGCCTGGGCCCACAGGGGCTCCCACAGGGTGTACTCCTTGGTGTCCTGCTGGCCCTGCTTCTGGTTGTGGGTGCCCTGGTCACCGCTCTGGTCTTCAACCACTACCGGCAGAGGAAGCAACGAGGTGAGCTTCCCACTCTACCCCAATTCACCCCATACCACCAACCAGTGGCACCTCCAAGACCCTACACCCTCACTCCGCCTGGACTCGGGAAGTCCCACTTCTCGTCTATAGGAACGGGCTCTGAGGAGTTGTGATAGTCTGGCTACCAGGATCTATCCTCCCACAGCCCTTTCACTCAACCTGGATGACCTGACATCCCTGGACCGGACATCTGGAGCCATCCCCCTGCCTCTGCTCCGCTCAGGCTCTGACTACAGAAACAACATCGGTGAGGTGGTAAAGGTACTGGGAGCTGCGACTACCTCCTGTGTTCTACAAGCCCCTCACTCCCTCTCTCCACAGAACCTCCCACCACTGAGCGTCTGAGCCCCACTTCCCAAACCTACAAAGCATCCTTCTCAGATGATGGAGATGAATCCCATGTCCCACTTCTTCAGACCACTTCCATTCAACTCCAAGACCTCGACCCCATTCTTCTGGCTGAGGTCAAGGATGTGTTGATTCCCCATGAACGAGTGATCAGCTACAGTGACCAAGTCATTGGGAAAGGTGCGAGATCAGACTGGGCTGGAGCAGAAATGGGGCCCTAAAAAGATGTGGGCTCAGAGGACAGATGGGCTGGCCTCTGCTCCAGACTTCTTACCGATTGGGGTGATCTTGGACATGTTGCTTAACTTCTCTGAGTCTCCATTTACACATATTTGAAACAGAGAGTAGAACATTTCAGTGGTCTAGTATGGTCTAGTATGGTCGAGAATGGGAGATCCTCCATCTCTGCTCCTTGTTTTTAATGCTGGATTGACCCGAGGTCTGGTTGTCAATGACAGGACATAAAAGTACTAGGGGCTGAGGACCTTCTCACAACTTTCCCTTCGCCAGGCCACTTTGGAGTTGTCTATCATGGAGAATACATAGACCAGGCCCAGAATCGAATCCACTGTGCCATCAAGTCACTGAGTCGTAAGTGGGCCAGGGGCCAGGACATCAGGGGGAGGAGCCCCGGGGTGGGATACGACTCATCCCTGCTGTGCCACCTGCAGAGTGACCCTAAGGAGGAGTCCTTTCTTCTCCGTTGTCCCATCTGACCCTTGAAGGTGGCCGCCCTGGCCTGGGTCTGACTCAGCCAATCTGCAGGCATCACAGAGGTACAGGATGTGGAGGCATTCCTGCGCGAGGGACTGCTCATGAGTGGCCTGCATCATCCGAACGTACTCAGTCTTATCGGTATCATGCTGCCCCCTGAGGGGCTGCCCCGCGTGCTGCTACCCTACATGCGCCACGGAGATCTGCGCCAGTTCATCCGCTCACCCCTGCGGGTCAGTGATCAGCAGACCCTGGGTTAGGAGTCTCAGGCAATAATTGGGGAAGAAGCTGCTCTGCCTTTGCCTACCAACCATTTACTTTACTGTGTCCTCAGAACCCCACGGTGAAGGACCTTGTCAGCTTTGGCCTGCAGGTAGCCCGTGGCATGGAGTACCTGGCCGACCAGAAGTTTGTGCACAGAGACCTGGCTGCCCGGAACTGCATGTGAGAGGCCAAAATTCTGGAGTGAAGTGAGGGGACAGGGAACCAAAACATGTAGCTGCCCAAGGGGATGTCAGGGCAGAGGGCACGGGCTAGCCCTTGCTGGACAGGCATAAACAGTCCCTCTCCCTCCATCTCTGGACCTCAGTTTCCTGTCTGCCCAGTGCAGGCTTGGTATTGGGCACCCTGACTCTGAAACTTCCTAGGGCCTGGATCAGGTGGGTTCAGGACCTGCTGTGGGCCCGTCCTGAGTGTGATCGCCTTCCCAGGCTGGACGAATCATTCACAGTCAAGGTGGCTGACTTTGGTCTGACTCGTGACATCCTGGACAAGGAGTACTACAGTGTCCAACAGCACCGCCATGCTCGCCTGCCTGTCAAATGGATGGCACTGGAGAGCCTGCAGACCTACAGGTTCACCACCAAGTCTGACGTGGTGAGGCCCCACATGCCTCAGAGTTCACATGACCTTGGTGCCTTGGAAGACCACTTGATTTTGTCCATTCAGCTCCCAGTGGACTATCTGAGCCCAGGGAATCCCTAGGCCGGGTGACCCCCACAGCCCATTTGCTCAGTTCTTAGACTGGCATCTGCCTCCCAGCAGGTCAAGAAGAGGCTGTGAATTCATTGTCTTTTCCTGGACAATCTAGCTCTTGCCCAGCTCTCACACAGCTTTGTTCCCACCTCTAAAAGGGTTTCAAGCCTGAGGTGGTAGGAGGAGACAGAGGAAGGATACCTGTGAGGTGTTGGGGTTCTGAGTGGAAGGTGGTGTTTCCATACCTCCCTCTAGGAGGTACCGAGCATGAGGACCTACCTGCCCCAAAATTGGAAGTAGAATTTGAGTTCCTTGTCTCTTCCTTCCTTGCAGTGGTCATTTGGTGTGTTGCTATGGGAGCTGATGACACGAGGAGCCCCACCATACCCTCATGTGGACCCCTTTGACCTTGCCTACTTCCTGGCCCAGGGTCGGCGCTTGCCCCAACCTGAGTATTGCCCTGATTCCCTGTGAGTATGAGGAGAGGGTCACCGGGTAGGAGAGAGATCCAAACCTCTCTTTGACCCAGGCGAGACATTCTCTAAGCCTGAGTTTCTTATCTATGGACTTTTGGTTCCCATCCTCATTCAAACTAAGGCACTAGGAGGCCATCATAGTCACCATGGTAACAGAATTCCCAGTTCAGAGTCTGGTTGAGGCCAGTGATTTGATTTCTCGGTATTCCTCTACCCTCAACTCCCTGCCAAGGAGGACGGTTTCCTATTTTTCCCCATCCAGTGTCAAGGAAGACTTTCATCAGCTCCCACATCAGCTTCCTCTGTCTCACCAGATCAATTTTTTTTAATCATTGGATGTAGTTTCAGATTCCCTGTTCCCGGAGGGATGGTGCTGCTGTGTTGTTTTAAGTTCCCAGGGGTCGGGTTTGGTGCTGAGGTTCAGCTTCTCAGGCAGCATGCACGACTCAGCTGTGCCCAAGTTGGTGCTGTTAGAACAGGGAGAATCAGGTCACAGATAAAAGCAGTTGTTGCCTCCTGTCTGAGCTCCAGGGAAAGTATGAGTATCTTTTCCTCGTGGCCCTGCCTGCCTTATTTCATTCATGCATCTTATTTGAAGTACAAAGTAACTTCATGGCTTACCTGTGCCCAGTTCAGACTCCCTAAAACATGCTCTCAGGCAGAGATGTGGGTGCAGGGAGTTTTTGGGTGGTGTAAGTGATTTGCATTGAACTGCAAACTGTAAAGTTGGTGGTTCTAACCTACTCAACAGCTTTAAGGACAAGAAAGCCTTGGCAATCTGCTTCTGTAAAGATTATAACTAAGAAAATGCTAAGGAACAGTTGTGCTGTGTAATACATGGGTGTCACCCAGAGCCAGGGCTGATTTAATGGCAGCTAACAGAAAGGGGGGTGGATGGGGAGGGGAGCAGGACTGATCCGAAGGAGAAGTTGAGAAGCCATGTAGATGTAACAGAGACGGCAGCCTGTTCTAGAGGGATTTCTTCCTGTGGAATGGCCCTTTTAAAACACTGACGCCAAGATCCTTGTATCAAGCATCACTCACCAGCCACAATTGCCCTCAGGAGGGGGTATTTGCTTCAAGAGGCAATTTCCTTCTGCCGAAGTCAATTCTCAGAGAGGGCCTCAGCCAAGAGCTGTAAGAGAGCAATCAACACCCTCAGCCACTGGAAGAAGGAAAAGCAAAACCTGGTTGACCTAGCATGCATCTGTTCACCCAGGGCAAGTCCCTTCTCCTCTCTGGGTATCAATTTCCTCACCTGCAAAGTAAGGGTCGTAAAAGACCACTCTCAGAAAGCCTTAAAATATTATGAGTTATAGTGTGTAGGACACTTAGAATATCATCCAAGGAAAGGATGACATTTCCACATAATGGAGCATGAATTAGGACTAGATGGTCAAACCCAGAGAACCTCAGCTTAGGAGCCAGGGTGGTGTTGGTACTGCCCACAGGCTCATCGTAGAATTTTCAATCCCCGTTTCACTGGGTCCAGGTGTTCTTGCAAGAAGATGCGTAATGATAATCATGATAAACTTGAGACCTGGACCCCTGTGCTGAACATTTCCTTGTCATCTTCCCACATGATACCCAACAGCACCAGGCAATACAGAGAAGTTAAGGAACATGCTGAAGATCACACAGCCCAGGCCATGAAGCTCAGGAGCTCATGCTCTTAATCCCCTGATCTGCCCCCACGCATCCATTCCCCCTATACCGGTGACTTCATGCCCCACACCAAGGTGGAAAGGCAGGACTAGACTGACAATCACCAGGCCTGTCATCACCCGTCTTCTCCTTTCAGTGCTAGTTTTTGAGCCAGGGGTTTAATAGTGGATGGACAGCCAGGAGGGAAGCCTTGGATAAGGAGTTCCCCTGTCCCTTACACTCTGTTTTCGCCTGCAGGTATGCAGTGATGGAGCGCTGCTGGGCCACAGAGCCAGGAGCAAGACCTACCTTCAGGATGCTGGTGCGGGAAGTGGAGTGCATAGCAGGCACTCTGCATGGGGACCACTATGTGCAACTGTCTGCAGCCTACGTGAACTTGGGACCTGGGGCCACAGACTGGGAAAATGCACCCATGGAACAGTCACCATCCCTTCCAGCTCATAAGAGCACTGGGCGGCCCCGACCCCTCTCAGAACCACTGCTCCCCACATGACCACCACTCTGGGCACTTGGGGAATGGACCTACTTAGAGACATCAACTAAGACCCAAGGTGTCCCCAGATCGTGTCAGGCGAGAAAGAAGAACTAGCCAGCTTCACCCTTTCCATGCTCTTTAGCCTCCAGGGACAATGGGTCTTGAGCAGGACACGTTCGGCCACTGACTCCTCAGAGGAGCCGAATGATGGTGATCCTTCGTGCAATGAGTATTTATGAAGAGCCTTCTATGTGCCTGGCCTTCTGGACGGAGGGGACTCTACTGACCTGGCGTTGAGCACACAGACACTGGCTTTTGAACCAGTAAATTAACAAATGAATATTGTGACAAATGCTATAAAAGTTAAGAAAAATGTTAGGAGGGAGCTCTGGTGGCTTAGTGGCAAGAAGCTGCACTGCAATTCCAGAGGTACGCAGTTTGAAACCACCAGATGCTCTGCTGGAGAAGGAGGGGCAATCTCCTCCTGTACCAGTCAGATCTGATTTGACGGTACACACCACACATAAAATAATAAAAATAATTTTTTTTAAAAAAGAAAAATGTTAGGAGGCTGGCTTGAGGGAATGGCCGGCTTTTTAGAGATTGAGGCTAAGAGAAGCCTCCCAGGACAGGGCACGTGTGCGGAGGCCCAAAGAATGGGAGAGAACCACCAGCCTCAAAGTGGGGGAAAAGAGTCTGGGGGCAGAGGGAGCAGTATATGTAAAGACTCTAAGGCTGAAAAGAAGTTGGGTTGGCAAGGAGGCCCAGAAGGTAGAAAGGAGGAAGTCCCAGCATCCAGGGCTCAAGGTCCCAGGGGGTGTTGGGAGGGATTAAAGAAGGCGGGTTTAGTACTCTGCATGCTACTCTGCATGCTGTAGCCTGGCCCCTTCCCCTTGTCCTAGTCTCTCTGCAGGGACTCCCCTTTTCACCTGCAGCCCCTGCCCCCATATGTACACACACTGACTTTCAGAGTGTGAGGATGTGTCCCCCACCTCCTAACTCTGCCAACATTGCCCTTGCAGCCTTCAGAGAAAGCCGATAGTGAGTGCTCAGCTCCACACTTTGAAGGCGACGATTGCAAGGTGCCGACTGCCCGGGCTATTTATACGCCAAGGCCACTGCACAATAGCTGCTGGTAGGGTGGGGGGTGAGCAGGCTCCACGGAGGAGGAGAGCTACTTCTCCTTCCCACTGCACCCCACCTCACCACTGTCACTTCTGGGGTGGGGGCGGGCAGCTTGCTCTGCCTGTGTGGGTCTCAGGACCCAGGACATGGATCATAAAGATTCATCTGCCTTGCTCAGGAACCTCGTGGTCTCCATTCTCTCAGCTGGGAGACCCCGGGTCACTCAATCAGGGGAGGCTCTTCCTTCCATGGCTGCTGCTGTTACACGTGGACCAGTAGGGTTGGCACAAGCTCATAAAGCTCTCCTTGGAATCAGAGTGACCCACCTATTCTCTATTTATATTGGCTGCCACCTCGGACTGGAGAGAGGCCAGCCCTGAGAACCTCAAGGACCCTCAGGACATGCAAAATAAGGTTTAAAAGGGAATGTTTCTGTTTGAAGACAGAGAATCCAGAGATCAGGGGCTATGCGCTGGAGGGGAGCAGAGACAATCTATCCCCTGGTCACTATTATGTCCCTGCTGCCTACTCAGAAGTCTGTGGCTGTGCAGGCTCAGTCATTTCCCCTTCTCCCTGTGTGGGGTGGGGGTGGGGGGGCCAATTGTGTCATCCCTGAGGCTGGGAGAGAGAGGAGTGTCCTAGAATAACCCCCACAGCTGCAGCCCCCATACCAGTTGGAAAGGACTGCATCCATCTCCTGCGGCTTGCTGTCTGCACCTCCTAATCCCATCCTGGGGTTCTAACAGCCACCCAGAGCTCCAAGCCTTGTGGAGCTGGGAGAAGACAGTCCTCAGCAGCTCTTCTGAAGTTGAACTGTGGCTCTTTTCCCACCAGGGCTCTGTGACTCACAGACCACTGGCTCATCTGTTCACAGGAAAGAAGCCTAGAGAAGAAGGGGATCTTTGAATTGGAGGGGACCTTCGGGAGGGACCCCAGAGAGGGAAGAGGAACTCAGGAAGAGACCTCAGCAGAGTGTCCGGTGCAGCCAGAATGTAAAGCTTTGGCCCTGTTTCTGGATCAAGGACCTCCAGATCCAGGATTCCCCAGAGATGGCTCCTAATTAAGGAGACATCTGGCCTCCAGACCATGAATCCCACCCGTCTCTTCCCATCCTCCAATTGCTATGGCTTCCAAGCTCTAAGCTCAAGTTTCAAAGCTACTTGATTTCAAGTCCATTTGGAATGGCAGGAGCTGGAACTCTTTCTGAGTTTCAAATTCCTGGCTGAATTTCTGGGAAAGACAGGAAGGGGGGGTGGGGGTAATTTTAGGCTCCAGAGGGAGGTGGTTGAAGGGACTGAAGGTTATTTAGGTGACTTCCAGGGCTGGTGAAGGTTGTGTCACCCCTTTCAGAAGGAGGCCTGAGCAGCTTCTCAGCCATGGTAGACTTCCAGTGCAAAGGGAAAGTTGCTGGTGGCTGTGGTGGTAGACCTGGGCCTGCCATCCAGGTGGGGATGGGGTGAGCAGAGGTTTCTTTAGGAGTTGGGAAACTGTCCTTCCTGCCATGAGGTGTGGAATTCTTGTGCCTCTTCTCCCTCCATTACAGCTGAGACAGTCAGATTGGTGTCAATAAAAGCTGAGGCTGAGACCAGCTTGAGAACTAAGAAACACCAAATGACTCACACCCTCCTGACTGCCCACTGGTGTCACTGTTGTCTGGCACCTGGAGGGCCTGCATGGGGCAAACGAATGTGTTTTGATGAAGGACCATGGGTCTGGCCTGAGATTCCGCTAACACCTCATCCTCTGCCTTTGGGGCAATTTTCCCCAGAGATCCAACGGCTTTCCGGGGGGGGAGGGCATATCAAGATGTAGCCCATTGCAAACCTTGGCTTCTTCATGGGACAGTGGCCTCACCAGCTATTCCTTCAATGCAGCCCATTTTATGACCTCATAAACTCCACCTGCAGAAGACGGCAGGACCTGATGCTTGCTAGAAGTGGGAGTGAGAGGGTGCTGTGGGTGCTACTAAGACTCCGAGAAGCCTAGGCTGCATCTTTTGCACTTACCTGGGGAGAAGCAGACCCAAGAAAAGGAGTATTAAGCCTCCAAACTACCAGTTTGTGACATATTTTTACTCCACACTGGTCTAGACAACTCTCTTTCATCATCCTAGGCACTGAGCATCTCTTCAAGCAGATCACGTACTCTGACGTATGGCCGTCCAACCACCCTACAAATGTAGCTCCTCAGCCTTGGGGATCAGGGATATCTCCATGAAGCACCCCCAACATTCCACCTCTAAGCCTCAGTCTCTCCTTCTACTCTTTTCTGGGGTTTGTTTCCAGCCACCAGAGTTTTTAACCCAATGAGCACGAATGTCAGGAGAACCTGAGCAACGGCCCCCTGAGGGGCTGAGTTCTTGTCTGAGGATGAGAATCTGGAGTCCAGCTTTCACTGTTAGCCGCCTTCTGGTAGTTGTCCCTGGCCCAGAGCTCGGCCAGCGTGCATCCGGTGGGTGGCAAGATCTGCCTGACCCAACTCAGTTTATATGTGTGGCATCTCTTTTTAGCCATCTCAACACCACTCCCCTTAGACACCAACAGAAACAACAGTTGCTCGTGAATGTTTATTTCTGAGTTCATCTTGGATGGGAGCAAATTCCCAGCTTCTTTATAGAGAGGGGTGTCTCCCCAAGCCCTCTTCCCCTTGTTCTCTGTTCCTCAGTGCCCTGAGCTCTTCTGCCTCTGGTTCAGGAATGTTTGCCAGACCTCCCAGGAATTGTAAAGATGCTCTGAGGAGAGACGCAACAGGAGCATCCAGAAAAGCTTGGACCGAGGGAGAGCAGGGAGGACCAGGCGAGAATGGCAGCTGCATCTTGTTCTCCTCCTGGCAAGATAAGGACCCTGTAACTGGATTTTTGCCCTTCCACAATCCCCTGTCCCCTCTCCCAACTCCCACACTACTTCTTCTCCGCACATCTGGACGTTCTGTTCCTTGGAGGGAAGCAGAAGTTCTAATGGCTCTGATGGCCTACACTTTGCTGGGCAAGTAGCAGAAGAGCCCTGGTATTTGGCCTTTGCTAGTCTCAATACCCTTGGTACCAGCAATCAGGAGATATATTGCATTGGGAAAGTCTGCTGTCAGAAGCCTCTACAAATTACTGAGGAGCTATGATGTCACTTTGAAGACTAAGGTGTACCTGATTCAGGCCATGGTCTTTTCAATCACTTGCTATGCATTGGAGAGAATAAGGATGACAGAGCTGATGCTTTTGAGTTGTGGTATTGAAGAAGAGTACTGATTATCCCATGGGCTGTCAAAAGAACAAACAGATATGCCGTGGGGAAAGTGCCGATAGAGTGCTCCTTGGAGGCAAGGGTAACAAGGCTTGGTCTCACATACTCTGGGCATGTTATTAGAAGCTATTGCTCGGAAAGGGACATCGTGCTTGGAAAGGTTGAGGGACAGTGAAAGAGAGGAAGACCCTCAATGAGATAGATAGACAGACACAATGGCTGCTACAATGAGATCAAGTATGTCAGTGGTGATGAGGATGGCACAGCATAGGACAGAATTCAGATATCTCATTCATAGGGTCACTGTGAGTTGTACTCGACTTGGTGGCATGCAATGACAACAGTCCCACCGTTGCTTCATAGGAGATCAGAAGCCAGGTTCATCGAAGTTACTACTTTGAACTCAGTTAGTGGAGGCTGAAGTAAAGAGGGGAGTCCAGGGGTGGCTTAGCATGCACATCGGCAGAAGGACAAGGACTAGTGTGCACCAAAGGCTCCCAGTGCCAGGGGCATCGTCACCACCTCGCCTCTGCTTCCTGTCAGGCTGGTTCAGCTACTTAAATATGTGTAGCCTGCGGACAAGGTACTTGGGATTTGGGGAATGTGTCAGAGAAGGGAGGTGCTCAAAGCAGCTACCTGCCATACTCACCACACTCA